CCCTTCCTCTCTGTACAAAATCAATAAAATATATTTAAAAAAAAAAAACAAAAAAAACTTAAGGAAGATAAGTCTCAAGGTTTATAAGCTTGCTATCTGAATGTAGCCAAAGAAAGGGTGTAAACCAGTGGTTCTTCATCTTTAATGTCTATAATAATCACATAGGGAATGTGCCCAGTAATTCTAGTTTATTGATTCTGAGTTGAGGCAGAGGCAACGGCAGCCTCATTTACTCTTCTTTCCACCACTGTCCAAAGGCTGCAAGCAACTTAATCAACTGCAACTATGGAGCCTTCATCAGACTTGAGATTTTGGGGGAGAAAGCTTAGAAATTTATAAAACAAAGGCGGCTAAAGACTTGATTTTCTCCTTCCCTATCCACTACTTCTTAGTTGGGGGAAGTTTCGAACATATCTAGAGCAAGAGTGATGAGGCAACTTTTGGTAGGATTTTGCCAGTGTATTCGTCCCTTGGCTGTGGTATAGCTACACTCTGGGCTACAGCCCCTGCGAACAGTGAAGAGGAGAACATTAGAGTCTCCTCTGGGCTTCGAGTGCCAATCCCCCTCTCAGCCTGTAAAGGTGAATTTCAGGCTTTGGATGGCTGTAGGTACTGTCTCGGTGGCCTTCAAGCCATGGAGTCCTCTTCTTACTCTGGTCATTGGTTGTTAGCTCAAACTGCCATAACAAGCTACAATGGGTTCAGTAGCTTAAACACCAGAAATTTATTTCTGAGCTTTCCTCCCAGAGAGCCAGCAGGTGGTGCTATATAGGAGTCTCCATTAACCTGGCTCACACTGTTAATTCACCTAGCCCTGGTGATTCCCTGAGACCCTGCCACACCCAATATGCAAACCCACCCAAGCCATTTCCACTGACTTTTCCATACAAATGGCCTCTCTGGCCTCATGCTTTGGACTTTGTTAAAATATCTCAAATAAGCAGCAACTGGCCTCTTCATACCATTAATTCTTCTGCCAGAATCACTAACTGGCAGAAAACACTGAAGACCAGTAGGAAGGGTGAATCCCGAGAGGACTGGACCCAGTTTTATGGGCGGCAGGCCCGGAGTGAAGAGGGAGCTGTGGGCTCTGGGAGGGTCATTGCCCTGAGAAGATGGAGGCCAGGCCCGGGCTGAGACCAGGGGCCCATGTGGCATCAGCTGTGAAAGGCTGAAGGCTGCTGGCCAACAGGGAGTCTGGAGAAGGTCAGACATAAAGCTGCAATGTTTGTTTGTTTGTTTGTTTGTTTTAAAACCCAGAGCACAGGATTTCCATCTGCAGCTCCTCACATGAGGCTTCAATGGAGGGCGGGCGATGCTGACTGAGGGGAGGCTGGGTGGGAAGCATGGGGGGAGACGTAGAAAAGAGGCGGCTGGAAGACCTGTAGTTTGATTTCATTCCCCCAAACCGAAACGGCCATTTTTCCTGAGAGGCTCTCGCCCATTTCAGAAGTCACAGCTCAGGAAAAGGAAAACCCCACTCAGGTGATACAGTCCAGCTCCCATCATGGGAGAACCAGAGGTCTGGGCTCCCGCTGCCCTCTAACCCTTTCAGAAACAGACGTTTGGGTTGTTAAGACTGACAGCAAGGCAGGTGGAGGCGAAGCCCAGGGACCTGGGAAAGGCTGCTGACAAGCCAGCCTGAGGGCAGCTGGGCCTCTCCCACATGCAGCCACCTCCTGTTAGACAGACAGCAACTGTGGATCACATGAAGCTTCAAGCAGGGTGCTGAGAGCCAGAGGAGGACTGCTCTGACAGTGGTGAGCACCGAAGCAACTCCCGGGAAGCCCAGGATCAGCAGACAGAACAGCCAACCCCAGAGGCATCAGAAGAGCAGGATCCAAAGGGAGCTCCCAGGAAGAACCAGATGGTGCATAGGCAATCCTGGTACTCCCCGCCTCCGCCTCCCACAAGCACATCAACATAACAACTAAAATACAGGAAATACAGAACAACTCCCCTGGTCGGTTTGGCTCGATGGATGGAGTGTCAGCCTGCAGACTAACGGGTCCTGGGTTCAATTCTGGTCAGGACACATGCTCAGGTTGTGGGCTCAATCCCCATTAGGGAGTGTGTAGGATGCAGCTAGTCAAGGAGAGATCTCATCTCATCATCTATTGCTCCCTTCCTTTCCTTTCCTCTCTGAAATCAATAAAAGTATATTTAAAAATAAATAAAATAGCCGAAACCGGTTTGGCTCAGTGGTAGAGCGTCGGTCTGCGGACTGAAAGGTCCCAGGTTCGATTCCGGTCAGGGGCATGTAAGCTGGTTGCGGGCACATCCTGGGTAGGGGGTGTGCAAGAGGCAGCTGGTCGATGTTTCTCTCTCATCGGCGTTTCTAGCTCTCTATCTCTCTCCCTTCCCCTCTGTGAAAAATCAATAAAATATATTTAAATAAATAAATAAATAAATAAATAAATAAAATATAGAACCACCATCATTCAGAACTGCCTGAAAGCTGGCTGACTGGAAGTCCTACAACTAGAGGAGTAAAGAAAAAAGCACACTGAGGCTGGTAGGAGGGGGGAGGTATGGAACAGACTGGTCGGACACGCATATGTGGCATTTTTTACAGAGAGAAAGAGAAAGAGAGGGATAGAGAGTTAGAAACATTGATGAAGGAGAAACACCAATCAGCTGCCTCTTGCACTGGGGATGTGCCTGCAACCCAAAGTATATGCCCTTGCCCGGAATCGAACCCGGAACCCGGGACCCTTCAGTCCAAAGGTTGACGCTCTATCCACTGAGCCAAACCGGTTTCAGCTGTGGCATTTTTTAATAGAAGGGATATTTTGGCTGCCAATGAGGAGCAAGGGGTCCCAGCCCCAAATCATACCCCCAGTCTAGGAAGAGAAGTCCCCATAACTTTGGGCTATAAAAACCAGCGGATATTATGGCTATCAATTTTGGGTTTGTTTTTCTTTCTTTTTTTCATTTTTTTAAAAAATATATTTTATTTTACACAGAGAGGAATTGAGAGGGACAGGGAGTTAGAAACGTCGATGAGAGAGAAACATTGACCAGCCGCCTCTTGCACACCCCCCACAGGGGATGTGCCCGCAACCAAGGTACAAGCCCCTGACCGGAATCGAACCCGGGACCTTTCAGTCCGCAGGCCGACGCTCTACCACTGAGCCAAACCGGTCCCGGCTTGCTATCAATTTTTGAATCAAAATAAGTGAACAAGGAAACTAATGAACAAAATAAACTGATTAATAAAATAGAACTAGAGGCATGGGAACATGGAACAGACTGAGGAGTCTCAGAGGGAAAACGGGAGGTGGGTAGGAAGAGATTAACCGAAGATCTTATATGCATATGTGCATCACCTATGGACACAGACAATAGGGTGGTGAAGCCCTCTGGATGGAGGGGGCAATGGGAGGATAAGGGGGGGACATCTGTTATAATCTTAATAATAAAGACTAAAAAAGATATACTGTTAACAAAATGAAAATACAAGCCACAGATTGTGAGAGAAATGTTTGAAATATATTTATTTGCAAATGACTTTTATTCAGACTCCAAGAGAACTTTAAAATTTAGCAACAGGAAGAAAAAAACCTAGTTTTTTTTTAATGGACAAAATTGTTGAACAGGCACATTGCAAAAGAAGGTATATATAAATGTCCAATAAAACCAAAATCATGAAAAGATTCTTGCTCTACCCAGCTTGGCTCAGTGTATAGAGCTTCAGCCTGTGGTCTGAAGGGTCCCAGGTTCCATTCTGGTCAAGGGCGCATGCCTGGGTTGTGGGCTCAATCCCCAGTGGGAGGCGTGCAGGAGGCGGCCAATCAATAATTCTCTCTCATCATTGATGTTTCTATCTCTATCTCCTTCTCCCTTCCTCTCTGAAATCAATAAATAAATATTTTCTTTCTTTTTTTTTTAAATATATATATTATTGATTTTTTACAGAGAGAAAGGAAGAAGGATAGAAAGTTAGAAACATCAATGAGAGAGTAACATTGATCAGCTGCCTCCTGCACACCCCCTACTGGGGATGTGCCTGCAAACCAGGTACATGCCCTTGACCGGAATCGAATCCAGGACCCTTGAGTCTGCAGGCCAACCATCTATCCATTGAGCCAAACTGGTTTCGGCAAGAAATATTTTTTTTAAAGTAAATATGCTTATTAATATTAATTATCAGGGAAATGCAAATTAAAACCACAAGATATTCCCACATACCCACTAGAAGAGTTACTATGAAAAAGTGACAACACTATGTGTTATTGATGATGCAGAACAACTGGAATTCCAACACACTGCTAGTGAGGTGTAAAATGATAAATCGCTTTGAAAAACAGTTGGGCAGTTTATTATAATGCTCAACATACACTTGTCCATAGGACTCAGCAATCCAAGAAAATGAATTGTCAACATTTAAGCTTCTACATAAACTTGCACCTTCGTGGACTAGTTGGACTAGTTTGTCCACAAATGACACACACATATGCAGGGCATGAGTTCGTGCACTGGGCATCCTGTTTTCAATATTGACTTTATGTATGTCTTCCCCTAACGGGAGGGATGGATCATTAAGGAAGACTGGGCCTCCCCATACCCCTACAGAGGTGGTCCCCCAGAATCCGTACTTTCCTCCTGGAAACAAAAATTCCATCATAAATGTACGGGGTTGCCTCGTTAACCTCGGAGCCTCACTGTCCTTACGCTTGCAGCAGTCTGGGTTATCGCACCGGGTGGAGAAGGAAGCCAGGTCGGCTGGAGGGAAGGGAATGGCGGCAGCGTGAGGTCATGCCACATGGTCCCGAATGGCATCTCTGCACAGCGGGGACATTAACGCGGGATGGAGGGATGGAGGGACGCAGCTGAGGGAAGACGAGGCCCCGGCGCGCAGCCTACAGTCCAAAGAGGGCCGGGCATGGAACAAAGCGGGGCCCTCCCGGGGCGTGGCCGGCCAGCCGGCCGCCGGAGCGATGGAGGGAGAGTGGACAGCGGGGAGCCACCCCGAGGCCCGCAGGATGGGCGGGACTTCCGGGAGCCATTTGCCTGAGTGGCAGGGGGACCGGAAGTGGGGGCGCTGCCGCTGGTGCTCGGGCCGAGGGACGCGCCGTGGTGGGGCCGCCGGGACTGAGCGAGCGACAGACGCGCCACCCGCCGCCGGGGCCAGCACGGACCCTCTGCCTGAGTGAGTGCGTCCGGGGTCCGAGACTGCGGCTCCGGGGGGCGTGGGGAGGGCTGCGCTTCGGTCTCGCGAGCGGCCCGCGGCCTCCCCTCCCCCACCGGGCCTCCCGCGCCGCCGGGCCTCGCCTCCGCGGCCCAGAGCCTTCCCGGCTCCCACCCCCCGCGCGTCGGCCCTGGCCGCTCCCGCTCCCCCGTCCCGCCCGGAGGAAGCCCGCGGCCCGGCCGCCCGCCCGGCTCGCTGCCTCCGGCCCAGCTGTCGCCCCGGCGCCCCCCGCCCCGTCGCTCTGGCCCGAGAGGCCTGGAACGCGGGCCCGCGCCCCTTAGTTACTCTGTCGTTTCTGGACGGGGCACCTGTCCTCCCTCTTTTGTTGAAAATCTCAACTCTTCAGAAACTTCTCCACTTCCCCCTCCAGTGCAGAGTAAAAATTCCCGGGCCGCTGACTCAGGGGCTCTTCCTCACGGCGCTCCCGCCCAGCCCCTCCTTCTGGAGACGGCCCGGCGAGGTTGCTCCCTCCGCCAGGGCGGCCAGCGCTCAGACCGAGCCCGGCCGGTGCTCGCAGGTGCTTTCCCTGCGGCCCAGGCCGCGGCGGTCCGGGCCCGCGGGTCTGCAGGTGGCGATGCCGGTGCGCGGGGACTCCCTGCTCTCCTCCCCGGTCCCGCCGCCCCGGCGTCGCCTTTCAGCATTCACACACAAACCTGGAGAAAGCCAACACGTGAAATGTGGCCTCTTTTAAAGCTTCCCCTGGGGAGACGATCCGGACCCCACCCTAGCAGCTCTTTTCGTACAACTTGGAGTTGGGGGAGGGGAGGTAAAGGAAGGAGAAAAGGCAGAGGACTGTCTCCCCGAACCTCGGAGCAGCCCCGGCCTTGGTTATGCCTTGGTTATGCCGTTGTCTTTAGATCCTGCCCCGGGGCACATTGTTATGATACAAAGGCTGCTTCCCAGTGGGACGCAGAAGAGGAGTGGGAGATCTTTGTGCTTTAATTTGTTGGCTTGGGCATTGGATAATAAATTATGGATGTGCTGGAAACGGGGGCCTCCCACCGGCACCAGAGGCAGGGTATTCAGGATGAGGCCTCCTTCCCCTGCGGAACCACCCTGCCAGCTAACTGCCTCTGGATCAAAACTGAGCCCGAGGTCTGGATCTTCTCAGTGCAGCGTTCCCCTCCGTCTGTTTCTGGTGAGACTGCAGAGACATCACCGGGCCCGAGGACGTGAAGTTAATTCTTTGCGGCGGCTGGCCTCTGGGTAGCCCCGCTGCCCCCTGCCTGGCAGAGGCCTCTGGGAGTTGGTGTCCTGCTGTCAGTGGGGGCTGAGGAGGAAGACAGGCAGCGCAGGGAACTTGGGATGCTGTGCATCTCCTCTTCCCAGAAAACTCATTTTAACGGGCAAGGAGCTTACCTGGAACGGTCTCTCCAGGTCAGTTAACAAAACTGGCGATCTTTGGGCCTTTTTCTCCTTTAGGCTGGGTTTTTCTTTCTTTTTATTTTTTAATGAGGAGTTTTTTAAAATATATATATTTTATTGACTTTTTACAGAGAGAAAGGGAGAGAGATAGAGAGTTAGAAACGTCGATGGGAGAGTCATCGACCAGCTGCCTCTTGCACGCCCCCCACTGGGGATGTGCCCGCAACCAAGGTACATGCCCTTTACCGGAATCACCCAGGACCTTTCAGTCCTCAGGCTGACGCTCTGAGCCAAACCAGTTTCGGCTAGGCTGGGTTTTTCTAACTGAACCTGCAGCTTGTGATCTCCGAATGTTGCACAGGGAAGATGATCAGGAATTGGGAAGGTGAGATGGCAGTCAGATCCCTCCCTGTTGGTCCTTTTTGATGTCTATTGATTACAGCTTGGCCATTCTGAATGCCACTGTGTCACAATAGTGCTCTCTACTGAGGGAGGGGAAAACCCAGAATCACTCAGGTTTTGTGACCTACACAGGCTGTTCTCTGGATAGCTCTTAATTCATTCATTTTTTTTTATTATTTTTATTTTATTTTTGTAAAGAATATAACAGTTTAGTTTATTCAACTCCCAAATTCTTTGAATCCTCTAAATCAGTGTTTTTCAACCTTTTTTGGGCAAAGGCACACTTGTTTCATGAAAAAAATCACGAGGCACACCACCATTAGAAAATGTTAAAAAATTTAACTCTGTGCCTATATTGACTATATATAAAGTAATTCTCTTGAATAGGAATCAAATAAACACAAAGAAAGTATTTTATAATTACTTTATTATGAAATATTAAGTAAACAAAATAGTGAAAAATTATAAAATTCTTGTCTGCACCTACGGCACACCAGGCAACATCTGCCACGGAACAGCAGTTGAAAAACGCTGCTCTAAATGAACCATCTTGGTTCTTAAAGAGGAGGTTGCATGGGCTTGTGGCTGTGTTTCTTTACCTCATGTTTAAAAATGTTACCAAGCCATAGACATCTGTAAAAATGAAAGCTACTTTGTCAAAATAACACACACTATCTTGTAAATAGTAAGTTCTTAATAAAACTTGCTTGCAATCATTATTCTAAATCAGTTGTTTCCCTGTTGGAGGAACTCAGAAAATCCATGTAAAATGAATCATAAGCCTAAGTACATCTTACAGTGTAAACCAGTGGTCTTGAAAGTAGAGTGTGTGCACACTGGCAAGTTTCTAAAACAAAAACAGTGTTTGGACCACACTAATCTGGACCGGTCTTGACTCATCTGCTTTAGTTCACTTTATGCTTTCCTATTGGGTATTCACCCAGCCTCTCTTTTGACTCTTTGTTGGAGGAATCTACCTTGAGAGACAGGCCATGTGGCATTGTAGTCATATTTGTTAGAAACTTGACTCACTCTATATTCTATCCATGGCTTTATCTTCATCTGTGGAGACATGTAGAATAATCCTAATATCCCTTCCTAGTCATCTTTGAATACGTTGACAGCTCTTTATGTCCTGTGTCTTCCTCTTCCCCAACCATTTTTTCTATAGATATCTAGTTTATACATACCCATTTCTTAAAAACTACCCTAATATGAAAGGTTTTCAAATTTCTCATTATCTTGGCTCATTTTCTCTAGACACTCTCCAGTTGTCAAAATTCTTTATAAGTTTTTTTTTTTTTTTTAATATATTTTATTGGTTTTTTACAGAGAGGAAGAGAGAGGGATAGAGAGTTAGAAACATCGATGAGAGAGAATCATCCATCAGCTGTCTCTTGCACACCCCCTGCCGGGGATGTGCCCGCAACTAAGGTACATGCCCTTGACCGGAATCGAACCCGGGACCTTTCAGTCTGCAGGCTGACACTCTATCCACTGAGCCAAACCAGTTTCGGCTTTTTATAAGTTTTTCAACAAGATTTGAACATGGTATCCCAAGAGCTAAAATGAGCTTAAGGGCCTATCTGCACTTTGTCTTTATGCGGTGAGGGATGTATTTGAATACATTTATTATGAAGGTACTTCATATTGATAGTTGGACACTCTTGCTCTTTATTTTTTTAAATATATTTTTATTGATTTTAGAGAGGAAGAGAAAGAGAGAGATAGAAACATCAGTGATTAGAGAAAATTGTTGACTGGCTGCCTCCTGCATGTTCCTACTGGGGTTCAAGCCCACACATCCCAGGCAAGTGCCCTTGGCTGGAATTGAACCCAGGACCCGTTAGTCTGCAGGCCAATGCTCTATTCATTGAGCCAAACTGGCTAGGGCTGTCTCTCTTCCTCTTTAAGCAATCCCCAGTAAAAATAGTTTCAATTATATAATAGTGAGAGTAGGAGAGATTATTTTTCTCCTTCATTAGTGATTCTTAAACTCTGTAAAGTTCACTTTTGCCTCAAAATACCTAACATGTTAAGTGTTTCCCCAGGTGGGAAAATAAATAGAAAAAAACGAATGAAATGGTTGGGTTTCTTAAATCTATTTTAAAAATTAAGTTAGAAAATAGACTTTTTCAGTTAGTGAGTGGAAAATGGAGCTCGTTCTTATATTTCTTTACATTGTATGTCTAATTTTAAAATCCATAATGTAGGAATTGTTGATTGCCCTTTATGTGTCTTAAGGCCAATAGAGCATGTGATCAGCAGGGAAATAAGGAACTCTTTAAATTAAAATACTACTTTTTAAAATATTTTTTATTAAATTATTATCTGTGTACATATTTTAACATTGCCCCCCCATACATACCTTCCCTCTCCAGAGTTTTGTGTCCATTGGTTGTACTTATATGCATGTATACAAGTCCTTGGGTTGATCTCTTATCTCCCCCAGATCTCCCTACCCTCCCTGCTTTAATTTGACAGTCTGCTTGTTACTTTACTCTCTTTATATCTGACTTTTGGTTCATCAGTTTATAATGTTCTTTAATATCCATAAATGAGTGAGGTCATGTGGTATTTCTCTTTCATTGACTGGCTTATTTCACTCAGCATGATGTTCTCTAGTTCTATCCTGGTTGCTGCAAATGATGAGAATTCCTTCTTTTTTTATGGCAGCATAGTATTCCATTGTGTAGATGTACCATAGTTTTTGGATCCAATCATCTGCTGACGGGCACCTAGGCTGTTTCCAGATTCTAGCTATTGTAGATTGTACTGCTATGGACATAAGGGTGCATATATCCTTTCTGATGGGTGTTTCTAGTTTCTTGGGATATATTCCTAGGAGTGGGATTACTGGGTCAAATGGGAGTTCCATTTTCAGTTTTTTGAGGAAAATTCACACTGTTCTCCACAGTGGTTGCACCAGTCTGCATTCCCACCAGCAGTGCACGAGGGTTCCTTTTTCTCCGCAACCTCGCCAACACTTGTCGTTTGTTGATTTGTTGATGTTGGCTATTTCGACAGGTGTGAGATGGTACCGCATTGTTGTTTTGATTTGCATCTCTCGGATAATTAGTGATTTTGAGCATGTTTTCATGTGCCTCTTAGCCTTCCTTCTGTCTTCTTTTGAATAAATTAAAATACTGTTAAACACTAGAGAAATTCTTGCAAGGGTAGTGCCCTCGTAGCCTCGGCTTCATCTGGAAGGTTGGTTAGCTGTTCAGTCTAATTAACATATTAGGCTTTTATTATTATAGATTATGTCATATTTAACCTGAATAGCAGACTTAATTCTATAATTGAACTTAGACCCAAAGACACTTTTATAGATGTTTTATGGGGTTAAAAAAGGGAAAACCTAAGATTAAGTAATTCTGTATGGCTACTTGTTTTAATCCCTTTAATCATTTTTCTTTTTCCTTTATGCATGTTTTAATTTTTTTTATACCTTTTAAAGACAATGATACTCCAAACATATCATACATAGTCTGATTGGAGTTATTTAAGTTCATCTTGCAGTTCTTCCTGATTCTTGTATTTTTACCTTGATGTTTTTATCTCTGTGTAATATTTATGTATGTCTTTTGAATAAAATGGTTATATATAAGGCCCTCTTTAGGGAGTCATCTGTGAATTCTTTTGTGATCAGTGGGCAAGATGTGACATTGAGGGGGTTCAGACAAACCTAATTTCAGTTACTCACCATGCAAATTACCTAAATTGTCTGATCCTTATTTTTCTCATTTTGCAGCACTTTTGTGAGGATTGGTTACATAACACATAGTCCTTCATAGAAAGATGTTATTATTGATAGTTGCACATTTTAGTAATCTGAAGAAATATATACATAAGGAGTGGGTGGTGTTTTACATCTTCAGTCAGATATGGGTCTAAACGTGAGCCTAATTTATTTAGACCTATATAATTTAGAACTGCGCTAATTTGTTTGTATAATCAGTAGTAAAACTCAGTCCTCCTTCTGAGAAAGTTTAGCTGTATTTGAGGATGGCAAAAGAAGGAATAAGATGAATATGGTCTCCTTTCTTTATAAGCCACAAAACCCACGATTTTTCCTTTTTTCATCATCCTTTGCATTTGCCAAGTGCCCTCTTTAGCCTAATGTCTCTAATATGTATTCTCCATTGTTGGTTGAGAGCAGTCTGGCTTTTTAATTGTCTTTCTAGAACAGGTGGAGAATGTCTGGCCCGTGGGCAGTATAAGGCCAGTGAGATCATTTGGTCTGGCCCTGCCAAGGCATTAGGGGTGAGTTATTAAACATTTGACCAAATATAGCAGGCTCATTTTTAAGTTGATAAGTTTGTATGGCCCATAAATGAATTTCACTTATTCTTTCTTCTGCGCTATGAGATGCCATCTTTGTGTTCATCGTTAATAAAATGTTCTTAGTGGAGATCTTTCATAAGTAAAAATACCTAGTAAATGTTTGTCTCAAGAACCAGGGCCAAAGCCTATGGCCAATTTTAACATGATGTTTAGTACAGTTATTTGTGATATTTGTGAACAGTGGTATTACTATAGTAATAATTATGTAACTAGCAACCTAAAAAGCTCTAATATAAATTTCATTGAACTATAGGTGTCTAATTCCTTGCGTCCTTTGGTAGAATAGTAACATGCAATCGTGAAAAATTAATTACTAGGATCAGACTTTTTAAATGTAATGCACTATTTCTAAATGATATTCAGACCTGCCTAGGAGTTTAGTGCTGCTGGATATTTATGGGACTTAAGTAACAAACATTTATTACTACAGCCCTGACCAGTTGTGTCCTGGAATTCATTTCTGCTGAAAATAAAGTCCAGGCAAAACCACAACAAAACTTAAATTGTACAATATTTACTGGCATGTAGTACTTAAGCAGTAACAAATAAATATTTCTGTTGATGGATGAAAAATGACACACACGTTATTTTCCTCAGGTATAGAATGAGCCAAGGAGACTCAAACCCAGCAGCCATTCCACATGCAGCGGAAGATATTCAAGGAGATGACAGATGGATGTCTCAGGTAAAAGGAAGGGCACATGTATTGTTCACATGAGATGAGCTTCTTCTGTTTTTTGAGAGTCTTTTGACCAAAGCTGCAAAGGTGTTTTTAATGGTCAACAAAAATTTATTACTGCAGCCCTGACCAGTTTGGCTCAGTGGACAGAGCATTGACCTGTGGACTGAAGGGTTCCAGGTTCGATTCCAGTCAAGGGCATGTACCTTGGTTGTGGGTACTCTCCAGTAGGAGGTGTGTGGAATGCAGCTGATCGATGTTTCTCTCTATCCCTCTCCCTTCCTCTCTGTAAAACAAAATCAATAAATATATATATATATATATATATATATTTTTTTTTTTTTTTAAAGAATTTATTACTGTAAGTAAAAGTCTGTTGTTAGAAATCTCAAGCCTAATCACCATCTGCTGTTGGAACTGAGAAATATGTTGAAAGCATGGTAATTGCCTCTTTTTTTTTTTTTTAATATATATATATATATATATATATATATATATATATAAAATTGATTTTTTACAGAGAGGAGGAGAGAGGGATAGAGAGCTAGAAATGTCGATGAGAGAGAAACATCGACCAGCTGCCCCTTGCACACCCCCCACCGGGGATGTGCCCACAACCAATGTACATGCCCTTGACCGGAATCGAACCTGGGACCTTTCAGACTGACGCTCTACCACTGAGCCAAACCGGTTTCAGCTGCCCTCTTAATTTTAAGACATAACAATGTCTCTACAGTATTCTTTTTGTATTATAACAATTTTTGAATTTCAAAATGACACAAATATCACATAACTTTTAAAAAGAACTTCGTATATTTTTCATCTAGACCTGCCAAGTAAGATTCTTGTTGTGGAATTGAACCCATGACCCTTTGGTCCAAGGGCTGACATCAGCCAAGGCACCAGTTAACATTTTGCCATCTACCTAATTCTTGTGTCTGTATCTATTTGTATATACACTGAGTGGCCAGATTATTATGATCTCTGAACGCATAATAATCTGGCCACTCAGTGTATATCCTATATAATAAAAGGCTAATATGCAAATTGTCCCCTCAACCAGGAGTTCAGCCAGCAGGCAGGCCAGCCAACTACCCATGTCCCCACCCCCTGGCCAGGCTGCCGGGACCCCATCCATGCACAAATTCATGCACCAGGCCTCTAACACACACACACACACACACGAGTGGCCAGATTATTGATATTATGCGTTCAGAGATCATAATAATTTGGCCACTCAGTGTATACCCAAAATACTGTGTGTTTTTTTCCTGAACCATTTGAGAATGAGTTACAATCATATGTCTTTCACCCCTAAATAGTTCAGTGTTTTCTAAAAACAATGACATTTTCTTACATAACTACAATGGAGTTATTAAAATCAAGAAACTTGCCAAAACCGGTTTGGCTCAGTGGTAGAGTGTCGGTCTGCGGACTGAAAGGTCCCGGGTTCGATTCCTGTCAAGGGCATGTACCTTGGTTGCTGGCACATATAAGGGGTGTGCAAGAGGCAGCTGGTCGATGTTTCTCTCTCATCGACGTTTCTAGCTCTCTCCTTTCCTCTCTGTAAAAAATCAATAAAAATATATTTTAAAAAAAATTTTTAAATCAAGAAACTTAACGTTGATATTATACAATTACCCCATTTCAAAACCATAATCAGATTTCTCCAGTTGTCCCAATAATATTCTTTATATCAGTTTTTTTCCCCAGTCTGCAATCATAAATTGCATTTATTTGTCATATCTCCTTATTCTTCTTTAATCTGAAACATTTCTTAGATTTTGTTTTTCATTATATTGACAATTTGAAATAGTGTAGGCCATTCATTTTGTAGAGTCCCTCAATTTTGAATTTATCTTTTTCCCCATAATCATGATTCAGAAGACTCATTTTTGGCAGGAATATCAGTGAAGTGGTATCTTTAGTGCATCATATCACATGGAAGGCACATGATGTTTGTCTCATTGGTGATACAATAAATCCTCATCTGTCATCATCAGTAGGTTCTGTAACTTTAAGCAAAATGGTGTATAATGAAACCAAATTTACTATAGGCTAATTGGTATAATAAACAAAAGTTAAGTTCCTACAATATCTTATCAAAATAACAAAACAGCATTGAACAAAATGACATTATTCCAGGACTTACTATATTAACTTTGATTGCTTGGTTAAGATGCTATTGTCCTAAACCAATTCTTATTTTTTATAGTATGAACCCAGGGGTTCTTATTTTATTCAGTGGGATACAGCCATTGTAATTTTGAAGCTCAAATTATCCCAGGTTTAGTAAGTAGGAATCCTTTAAGCTGGCCCCTTTATATTCTCAATGTATCCCATTATTTTTTAGCATTTTATTTTCTTCAATATTTTAGCTTTTAATAAAACATTATTACTTAATAGTAACTATATTTAACCTTTATGTTTCCGACCATACCTCTTTGAAATAATAAGTCTGATTTTTAAGTTCCCAGAACTTTATGTTTTAGTATCTAGTGATTCTACTTATACTCTTTATAGTTATATAATCTCTTTCTGTTTTTGTCTTCCCAGGCTTAAAAAGTCAGTCTATCAACCAGTTTATTCTGAGTGGTAGTTAGGTTTTCTTAGCTGTTCTCATATGGATTAACTACTTTATTATTCTTTCTTAATCTTCTCATTAGTTTATATCTTTTAAAAGAATTTATGACCCTGGCCAGTGTGGCTCAGTGATTGAGCGTCAACCCAGGAGCAGGAATTCACAGTTTGATTCCCAGTCAGGGCACAGGCTTGACCCCCAGTAAGGGGCGTGAATAGGCAGCCAATCAATGATTCTCATCATTGATGTTTCTGTCTTTCCCTCTCCCTTTCTCTCTCTCAAAATCAATAAAAACATATTTAAATAAGTAAATAAGAATAAAATAAATATTGTGAAGTGTTTTGAGCATCAATGTATTGTCACTCTAAAAAAAATAAAACATTGCTAATAGAATTGCTATTCCCTGTATACTCCTCACCGATCATATTTCTCTTTTCTGCCTCTCCTCTCCCAAACCAGTAACCTGAATTTTGTTGGGTTTTTTTTTTTTCATGTATTTGCATACTACTTATATGTAATCTCTTTCGTGATAAACACATTATAGTGTATACAGTTGTCAAATTATAATGTACACCTGGAACTATACTGCTATTAAGCAATGTTACCTCAATAAAAAAAATTTTTAATACATAGTATTGCTTGCATATTTTAAACTTTTTATAAATAGTATCTTTCTGAATGTTTTTTCCACAGTACACCATACGTATTAAAAGTATAGCTATAGTTTGTTTTCTCTCTGTCAATAGTATTTATTTGTTCTGTATCAAAATGCCAGAATGGCCAAGGTCGGTTTAGCTCAATGGATAGAGCATCGGCTTGGGGACTGAAAGGTCCCGGGTTTGATTCCGGTCAAAGGCATGTATCTTGGTTGCGGGCATATCCCCAGTAGGGGGTTTGCAAGAGGCAGCTGATCGATGACACTCTCTCATCGATGTTTCTAACTCTCTATCTCTCTCCCTTCCTCTCTGTACAAAATCAATAAAAAATATATTTAAAAAAAATGCCAGAATGGATTTGCCCATTTTTTTCATTGGTGGACATTTAGGTCATTTATAACTTTATTAAAAGTAGTAACTAAAAAAATAGGTGCTTTTATTTTTTTCTGGCACAAATTAGCAGGCTTAAAATGCCGTATTTTTCGGACCATAAGACGCACCGGACCATAAGACGCACCAGTTTTTAGAGACGGGAAATGAAGAAAAAAAGATTCTGAAACAAATAGTGTCCTAAAATATTTTATGTGCATTAAAACCCAACATCACAGTCATAAACACATGTAATCAACCCTGTAAAGTAAACAGCAGCATTTAGAACCATTTTAGAGCCGGGCAAGCACACAGAGACCACACAGAACCGGGCAAGTAAAAAAACTTTTTTTTTTAAAGTATATGTGTAGGCTATATTTGGACCATAAGACGCAGGGACTTTTCCCCCCCACTTCTGGGGGGGAAAAAGTGCGTCTTATGGTCCGAAAAATACGGTAATTAATAGTAACTGAAAAAATTAGTCAATTAAGAAAAACAGATTGAATATTTAAAAAGTTTTAAGCTTGTGTAATGTGGAAGGAGTAACTGCTAAATATTAAAGTATATACACAACTTTTTAAAAAATATTTATTGATTTCAAAGAGAAAAGGAGAGAAAGATGAGAGAGAATCATTGATTGGCTGCCTCCTGCACACACACACCCATGGGGAATCGAGCCTGCAACCCAGGCATATGCCCTTGACCAGAATTGAACCCGGGACCCTTCAGTCAGCAGGCTAATACTCTGTCCACTGAGCCAGACCAGCCAGGGCCAGAACTTGTTTTTTAAAATGTAGTTCTCCAGCGAAAGAAACTGGGCTCCTTAGAGAAATGTTTGATTCTACAACTGGAACAAAGGAAATAAAAGATGGGCCTAGAACATCTTGTGGTGTGAGAAAGCAAGGAAGTGCTCAAAAAACAAAAGGAAAAGGGGGGGCAGCACTGAAGCGGTGTGTCAGGCATCAGAGGAGTCGTGTACTGGCTTGTCTCCTTGATGATACTAACTAGGACTATTTGGAGCGAAATTGATAGAGCACCAAAGCACAAAATTGAAAAATTTAAGCAACATAATAAATGATGATATTGGTTTATAGCTCAAAAAATAAAATATCGATAAATATTCCTGAATCCTATTCTATAAATGATTGGATGAATAAATAATAGGGGTGAAGGGACAAGTCTTCCTTTCAGGATAATTTTTTCTTTTGTTCCCCATTGACACCTTCTAGCCTTGTTCTTCCCTGCCCCCCACCCCCCGGCCTTCATCATACTGAATACTTGTTTTATTAAATGTATTTTTATTGATTTCAGAGAGGAAGGGAGAGAGAGATAGAAGCATCAATGATGAGAGAGAATCATGGATCGGCTGCTTGTTGCATGCCTCACATGGGATCAAGCAG